CTGCTCACCCGCACGGTCGCCAGTGCGCAGGACGTAAGTGCACGGACCAGCACCCCCACCCCGCTGACGCGCAGAGTACCACTCACGGAGCTGCTGCGGGGAGAGGGTCTCCTGACCACGCTGCTGCTGCTGGCGCTGACCACCACCGGAGCCACTCCTCCTCGACGCGCCACGACCTCCGCCGCCTCCTCCGCCGCCGCCGCCACCACCTCCGCCGCCACCGCCACTCCCACCGTCGCCGCCGCCACTGCCGCCTCCGCCTCCACCCCCACTACCACCGCCGCTGCCGCCCCCGCCTCCACTGCCTCCGCCGACACCCCCACTCCCGCCACCACTCCCGCTACCACCCTCACCTCCGCCGCTGCCTCTACCTCCGCCTCCACCGCCCCCGCCGCCCCCACCACCGCCCCTGCCCCCCTTGCTCTTGCCAGAGCGACGTCTCCCGCTGGGGGCAGACGCCGCACCGACCGACTCAAAACCAACAAGGTCGGCCGTAGCAGCAGAGGCGACAGAGGGCAGGAGGGGGGAGGGGGAACACCCCTCAAAGATGGGGGTGCGCGGGTCACCACGAGAGGCCCCTACAGCGAGAATGCTCTTCTCGGCTACTAGGAGGGACTTCTCGAGGATCTCGACAGTGAGAGTGGTGGGGCAGACTGCGAGTAGGTCGTCCCTGACTCCGCGAAGGGAGTCAGGGAGGCGGGTGACAATGTAGTAGAGAGTGAAGTACTGGGGGGGGGGTTCTTGGCACAGAACTCAGCAGGAAGTGCAGCGCGGAAGCAAGCGTCACTAGTGCGCAGGTGGGTAATGAGGTCGGCTACTGTGGCAAAAGCAGCAAGGTCGGGAAAGAGGTACGGTAGCATGAGGCGGCTCAGTGCAGCAGTGGCAGGGGTGGAGTAGCGTGCGATAACGGCGTCGTACAAGGTCTTAGCACTCTTGTACGACCCAAAGTGCGCACGCTCAGCGGGAGGGAGGTGGCGACGCACAGCAAGACGTGCAGCAGCATCGCGTGTGGCCCACTGTGAGCGAACAGTGGCATCCTCAGTAGCAGCAGGGGCCGGAGAGGCACCAGAAGTGAGATCAAAGAGAGAGAGGCCGTCAGCTCTGTCGCACTGTAGGAAAAGCAGTAGGTCGTCTACCCACACATCAAAGTCGATGGCCCGACCCTCAGCGTCAAAGGCGAGAACGCTGGGGGTAGCCATGACTGCAGTAGGCTAACAGTGCAGGCAGTAGGAAGAGGGTAGTGTAGAGGGAGAGGAGCGGCCGGGTCTTACCAGACAGGGCGGCTCGGGCAGCTCGGCTGCTGTGCGGCTCGGCGGCAGGGCGGCTCGGCTGCGGGGCGGCTCGGCTGCTCGGCGGCTCGGCTGCTGGGCGGCTCAGCTGCAGGGCGGCTCGGCTGCTGGGCGGCTCGGCTGCAGGGCGGCCCGGCTCCTCGGCGGCTCGGTTGGCAGGCGGCGCGGTGGCTCGGCTGTCGGTGAAGCGGCGGCGGCCGGCAGAGTGCAGTGGTGGCGGCCGGGAGAGCGTAGCGGCGGCGGCCGGCAGAGTGCAGCGGCGGCGGCCGGGAGAGCGCAGCGGCGGGGCCGGCAGAGTGTAGCGGCGGGGCCGGCAGAGTGCAGCGGCGGGGCCGGTAGAGTGAAGCGGCGGGGCCGGCAGAGTGCAGCGGCGAGGCCGGTAGAAGGGGACGGCGGGGCCGTCAGGTGCAGTGGCGGCGCCGGCAGATGAAGCGGCGGGGCCGGTAGAAGGGGACGGGGGGGGGGGGGGGGGGCGTCAGAGGGGACGGCTGGGCCGTCAGGTGCAGTGGCGGCGCCGGCAGATGCAGCGGCGGGGCCGGTAGAAGGGGACGGCGGGGCCGTCAAAGGGGACGGCGGGGCCGTCAGGTGCAGCGGCGGCGCCGGTCGAAGCAGCGGCGGGGCCGGTAGAAGGGGACGGCGGGGCCGTCAGAGGGGACGGCGGGGCCGTCAGGTGCAGCGGCGGGGCCGTCTGAAGCAGCGGCGGTGCCGGCAGAGGGGACGGGGGAGCCGTCGGGTGCAGCGGCGGGGCCGGTAGAGGGGACGGCGGGGCCGTCGCAGGCGATCGCGGGGCCGGCAGCGACGGCAGCGGCGTCGCGAGGGTCAGAGGGGGCGGCGCGGGCGGCGCGAGGGGCGGCGCGACGCGGCCTGAGGTCGGCGCGACGTGGCCCTGGCCGCGCGCGCGCGAAAAAAAAATCGCGCGCGGGGGGGGGGGGGGGCACAGGGGCTGCGCGACAAACACTAAGGGGGGGGAGCGCGCCTCGGGGAGTGGAGGGCGCTCCGGGCAGGAAAAAAAAAATTTCGTTGGTGGGCCCTAAAAACGGTCCTTAGGAAGGACCCGCTCTATACCATGTCAGAATCCCAACCACTAGACCATCGGGATAAAAGGGCTTGTTAAGTAGCGGGTCAGAGTGCGCCCATAACCCCCCAGGCAAACGCGCATGTAACCCCCTGTAGGATCAATCGGGCATCCACAGTGCAGATCCACTGACACACAGATACTTTCGCCATGTTTCCCCCTCAAATTATGTTATCAATATATAGGTTCGTTGACTGCCTCGTTGACCAGCGCGATGTCACTGTTGGCGGCGCCCTTGACTGTAATGATTACATAGGGATGGATCACGGATGGATGTCGGTCGGATGTCAAATAAAATCGGACACAATGCAGGCCTGAAAATTCTCACCTACCTACCCCGACATACGTCGACATCCATCGACATGTCACTTCGGACACGCCCCAATCTCCGACATCTTTACTACATTTGATTTCAAACCGCGCCTTGATGTTACTTCCGGGTCCTCAGCTCAACTTTCTTGGGAGCCGAGCTGCCAAAGTGTGGTTGAATATATGGACCCCCACCCACAGCAAGACGCTATTTATAGTGGAGAGGACGAGTTTGGATGCCACACGCACGAATTGAGCAGAGTCGTGGGAGAAAGCAGCAGGGAGAAACGAAATCCAACTCGCACGAAGAATTTGGCGAGGCGCACCAACCTCTGATGAGGTTGGTTTCAAATGCCGATTCGTTCTCAGCCGCGAAAAACACACACCTGGCGGTTTCGTCACTCTGGTATTTTTTTCTTCTACGCCAGTTCATGTTTGATTGCTACTACCTGTAGTATTGTGAAGGAGCTACGCTTCAATTCGGTGGGACCTACAAAAATAAGAACGGTTCAGATGATGCCCACCCCATGCACGCGAATTTGCTCTGCACCGATGGAAACGCTGCACTCGAGGTTTTTTCCCCATCCTGTTGCACCCACGTTACAAGCGCGTCGCGTGGTTACGAACCAATAGTAACGAACATACCGAAGTCAAACTGAAGAGAATGAAGTCGAAATGTCAACGGATAAGGTTACAGATCCTTTACATAAGCACCTGCAAATCCATTTTAGCCAACTGCATTTGCGAAATGCACGTAGCTTATAAGCCCTCTTCACAAGGCAACCAGGAGTGGCTCAAACAGGCATCATGTGTACAAACCGGATTAGCTAAAATGGAATTACGACCTCAAGTCGAGAATTTCTGCTGACTTTTGTGTGGATCCGGGCGAAGCACAACCCACCAATGAGAAGACGATATCGCCAACGGTACAACTTTTGGTCACAGATCGGGGCGCAGTCGGCACACTGTTTCTTCGCTGACGGTGCAATTTCCCCTTGCACTAGAAGCCATTTCTCTTGACCTTCCCAGTCCAACCATTTCTGTTTCCTAGTAGCACGCCCAGTAGCGCCAGTCTCTGAGACTGAACCATCCCACCCCATCCCATCGCATCCAAATACATCCCATCCATTCCCAACCCGAGCCAGCTCATCCCATCCCATCCCATCCCATCCCATCTCATCCCATCCCATCCCATCCCAATCCATCCCAACCCATCCCAAGCCTCATAGGTCAGTTGTGTGCTTCTCGGTGGCTTGGATTGGGTGGTGGTTGGGAAGCTTCCACGTGCAACTCGCCGCACCACATTTCTCATGCGTCATGCGTGGGCGTCAATTTCTGACGTTGATCACACCGGGATTGACGTCAGACCAAGATTGACAGCCTGTGATTGGCTTGACTGCCTGGTTCGTCTGAAAATTCGGGTGTATTTTTAGACAGGTTAGGGCTCGGAAATTGACTTCGTGTCGTAAACGCCTGCCAGAAATTTTGAGCTTTGTCTCGTAAAAGAACGGTGAGAACGTTTCGCAAGCTGACATGAACTTTTTCAAAACCAAACTGAGCAACGCCCTGATTCTGCTTGGGGTGGTTCCCAGCCCCACGCAACCCTGATGTGGTGATGTCGCATTGGCTGGATAAACTTCCTGCTGAAATTTCCAGCAGCGGGCTCTGCGACTCGAGTGTGAGATTAACCAGAACGTCGCGACTCTAAGTATTTTCACACCCTCTCGGGCAAACGTTAACGCGACTCGGCTATTTCACCCCATGAAATTACCGGAGGACAGGTGTAGTGCCCCCAATGGCAGAATAACGCAGCGCGGGCTGCGCTAAAATACAGCGGATGTTCCACGGATATAACGGAAGGGCTGTGCATGAGCGAGACAATCGAAGCTGTCAGTTTTAGCAACGCAATCGGAACAGCTCGAATAGGCTCGTACTACTAGTTGTACGCTTGCAGCAGTCCTAGTACTAGGACAAAAATGGCGCGGCTTCCTGCTCTCTGCTTGGCTTCCGTGGCTCTCATTCTTGTAAGCTGTGAGTCGCCTCTCCCTCGCACGCATTTCCCTTCATTGGTTGTTACACCCATCGCCTTTGGGCCGTTGTCGTTCACGAGTTCTGTTATTTTCTATATTTTCTATCTATTATAATTATTTCTTCTTGGGACGACGAGCTTCCAAGGGTTCTACCTGGCAGCTAGAAAGTGCATAATCTAGCGCGCCTGTGATCCATCATAACACTCGGTCCGAGGCAAACTGAGAGTCGCAGACTAGATTCCCCTTGGGGCCGCCACGCTCTCCGCATCTCGTTCTGACAGGTCGCTCGTGCTGTAGTATGCGCAGGTTCGGAGGCGGTACGCCTCGTACCCAGTTCCCACTCCACCGTTGCCCGCAACGCCACCAGTGGCAGCAACACCGCCAACACTGGCAGCAGCACTGGTTACGCTGACAGCGCCACCAGCACTGGCGCCATCGCCGGAGGGATTAATAGCAGCAAGCCCACCAGGACCAGACCCAAGGTGCGTGAGCATGCCATTCCTTTACGACGCCCAGACCCCCGCTGCTGCTGCTGCTGTTGCGCTGAATCTGTCTTAGGTGCCTCAGTAACTCACATGACCGGTTTTGACTACAGGAGTGCCTCAAACCCGCCTTGAATCTAGACTCCAGTCCTTGTTTTTTTCTGGGCGCCTTGAGCAATTATCCCCATCCGTTTGCTTTTGGCTGCAGGGAATGGTATATGTTGTCCCTTTTGCCTTTTTTACTCGACAAATTGTGCCAAAGAAGGTGCAGCCATTCGATACCATTGGTACGTCTCTCTCTCTCTCTCTCTCTCTCTCTCTCTCTCTCTCTCTCTCTCTCTCTCTCTCTCTCTCTCTCTGTTGCACTCTCTCTCTGTTGCACTCTCTCTCTCTGTTGCACTCTCTCTCTCTGCTGCACTCTCTCTCTCTCTGTTGCACTCTCTCTCTCTCTCTCTCTCTCTCTCTCTCTCTCTCTCTCTCTCTCTCTCTCTCTCTCTCTCTCTCTCTCTCTCTCTCTCACTCTCTCTCTGTTGCACTCTTTCTCTCTCTGTTGCACTCTTTCTCTCTCTGTTGCACTCTCTCTCTCTGTTGCACTCTCTCTCTCTGTTGCACTCTCTCTCTCTCTGTTGCACTCTCTCTCTCTCTCTCTCTCTCTCTCTCTCTCTCTCTCTCTCTCTCTCTCTCTCTCTCTCTCTCTCTCTCTCTCTCTGTTGCACTCTCGCTCACCCGCACTTATTTCTGTCCTTTCTTTTTGGGTACTCCAAACAGTGTTTTTGAACGCCGGATTTGCCACCAGAAAGAAGCTTTATCAATATCCTTCAAAGTTCGCCTTTGAAGTCTGTGAACCCGGAAAGAGGTTATACAAATTCACTTACTTGGGCCAGGGATTCCGGTACGTAAATATATTCTCTGGCATTTACACATTCTGTTTTTCGGTATATTTTTTTTTTCCGGTGAAAACATGATTTGCTGATGTCACCGGCTCTGCTCTATGTCCTTGCAGCTTCAACGTGCCGCACTCTGCTGCCGGAACCACCTTGTATTTTAGCGCTGACGTTTTCTTTTGTAATTTAGGGTTTTCTGGCATGAGTTTCTCCATTCGCGTTGGAGGACACACTTGAGTACTAGGTCAACGAGCACAGGGCCAGGAATGATGTAACAGCAGCTTTACCTAAAGCCACCGAATCTTTTGATGTATTGTTTTGTCTCAGTATCTTAATGCTAATGATTCTGTGTGGGCAAGGAAAAAACAAAACGGCGAGTCTTGGAAGCAAAGTACAGACTTCAAACCCCACTAACTGCATGTGCTAGGATACCTTCATTCACACTTTGTTTTGCAGCAGCAGGAGAAACCCCAGGCTCAGCAGCTCCTGACACAGCACCCCCCGGCGCAGCACCCCCAGGTGTAGCACCTCCAGTCTCAGCACCCCCAGGCTCAGCACCCCCAGGCCCAGCACCCCCAGGCTCAGCACCCTCCGCAGTAGCACCCCCAGGCTCAGCACCCCCAGGCTCAGCACCCCCAGGCTCAGCACCCTCCGCAGTAGCACCCCCAGGCTCAGCACCCCCAGGCTCAGCACCCGCAGCAGCACCAGAGTCACCAGTAACCTCGACCGGGTCAACGGCGTCTACCTGGGACACACCTGAGGGGGCAGGAACCTGAGGGGGGAGGGGGTCTACCGGGGGGGGAACCGGCTCAAGGAAGTCCGGTGGAGGGGGAAGGGAAGGAGTGCGGTAGGGGAAGAGGCGGTAGAAGGGGACTGACTCGTCGAACGTGACGTCCTGGGAGGACAGAACACGACGAGAGGAGGGGTGGTAGAAGCGTGCGCACCACGGGAGCCGTCTGTGGGGAAGCCAAGCGAAGACTGGAGACGAGCGGAGCAGCACGAGGGGACAGCTTGTCCGCAGACAAGTCGCGTCGACAAACGCCCGAGATCCCCAGACACGGAACGCCGACGCATCGCCAATCCTTCCGTCCGTCCACATCAAGACTGGGGACACGCGGGCCGAGAGACCCGGGGGTGAAGGTTGATCTGATGCGCAGCGTACCGAGACCGGCAAACGGCCACAGAAAAGTGGGGGGCAGCCGCATGCACCATGGACGTACGGGCGAGGACGTCCATGACCAACTGCCGATGCGGCGCTAAGCAATCCCAGTTCTGCTGTGGAGAGTCCCGGACAGCAGTGAAGGTCTCGCGGAAACTGCCTCAGTGCCCGACAGTCAGGCTCGCAGACAGGCCGGAGGGGAACTCTCCGCCTCTGTCCGAGTGTAGACGCAACCAACAGGAAGAGTCCGAGCGAGAACTGCTCTTCTCGGCTACTAGGAGGGACTTCTCGAGGATCTCGACAGTGAGAGTGGTGGGGCAGACTGCGAGTAGGTCGTCCCTGACTCCGCGAAGGGAGTCAGGGAGGCGGGTGACAATGTAGTAGAGAGTGAAGTACTGGGGGGGGGGTTCTTGGCACAGAACTCAGCAGGAAGTGCAGCGCGGAAGCAAGCGTCACTAGTGCGCAGGTGGGTAATGAGGTCGGCTACTGTGGCAAAAGCAGCAAGGTCGGGAAAGAGGTACGGTAGCATGAGGCGGCTCAGTGCAGCAGTGGCAGGGGTGGAGTAGCGTGCGATAACGGCGTCGTACAAGGTCTTAGCACTCTTGTACGACCCAAAGTGCGCACGCTCAGCGGGAGGGAGGTGGCGACGCACAGCAAGACGTGCAGCAGCATCGCGTGTGGCCCACTGTGAGCGAACAGTGGCATCCTCAGTAGCAGCAGGGGCCGGAGAGGCACCAGAAGTGAGATCAAAGAGAGAGAGGCCGTCAGCTCTGTCGCACTGTAGGAAAAGCAGTAGGTCGTCTACCCACACATCAAAGTCGATGGCCCGACCCTCAGCGTCAAAGGCGAGAACGCTGGGGGTAGCCATGACTGCAGTAGGCTAACAGTGCAGGCAGTAGGAAGAGGGTAGTGTAGAGGGAGAGGAGCGGCCGGGTCTTACCAGACAGGGCGGCTCGGGCAGCTCGGCTGCTGTGCGGCTCGGCGGCAGGGCGGCTCGGCTGCGGGGCGGCTCGGCTGCTCGGCGGCTCGGCTGCTGGGCGGCTCAGCTGCAGGGCGGCTCGGCTGCTGGGCGGCTCGGCTGCAGGGCGGCCCGGCTCCTCGGCGGCTCGGTTGGCAGGCGGCGCGGTGGCTCGGCTGTCGGTGAAGCGGCGGCGGCCGGCAGAGTGCAGTGGTGGCGGCCGGGAGAGCGTAGCGGCGGCGGCCGGCAGAGTGCAGCGGCGGCGGCCGGGAGAGCGCAGCGGCGGAGTGTAGCGGCGGGGCCGGCAGAGTGCAGCGGCGGGGCCGGTAGAGTGAAGCGGCGGGGCCGGCAGAGTGCAGCGGCGAGGCCGGTAGAAGGGGACGGCGGGGCCGTCAGGTGCAGTGGCGGCGCCGGCAGATGAAGCGGCGGGGCCGGTAGAAGGGGACGGGGGGGGGGGGGGGGGCGTCAGAGGGGACGGCTGGGCCGTCAGGTGCAGTGGCGGCGCCGGCAGATGCAGCGGCGGGGCCGGTAGAAGGGGACGGCGGGGCCGTCAAAGGGGACGGCGGGGCCGTCAGGTGCAGCGGCGGCGCCGGTCGAAGCAGCGGCGGGGCCGGTAGAAGGGGACGGCGGGGCCGTCAGAGGGGACGGCGGGGCCGTCAGGTGCAGCGGCGGGGCCGTCTGAAGCAGCGGCGGTGCCGGCAGAGGGGACGGGGGAGCCGTCGGGTGCAGCGGCGGGGCCGGTAGAGGGGACGGCGGGGCCGTCGCAGGCGATCGCGGGGCCGGCAGCGACGGCAGCGGCGTCGCGAGGGTCAGAGGGGGCGGCGCGGGCGGCGCGAGGGCGGCGCGACGCGGCCTGAGGTCGGCGCGACGTGGCCCTGGCCGCGCGCGCGAAAAAAAAATCGCGCGCGGGGGGGGGGGGGGGGGGGCACAGGGGCTGCGCGACAAACACTAAGGGGGGGGAGCGCGCCTCGGGGAGTGGAGGGCGCTCCGGGCAGGAAAAAAAAAAATTCGTTGGTGGGCCCTAAAAACGGTCCTTAGGAAGGACCCGCTCTATACCATGTCAGAATCCCAACCACTAGACCATCGGGATAAAAGGGCTTGTTAAGTAGCGGGTCAGAGTGCGCCCATAACCCCCCAGGCAAACGCGCATGTAACCCCCTGTAGGATCAATCGGGCATCCACAGTGCAGATCCACTGACACACAGATACTTTCGCCATGTTTCCCCCTCAAATTATGTTATCAATATATAGGTTCGTTGACTGCCTCGTTGACCAGCGCGATGTCACTGTTGGCGGCGCCCTTGACTGTAATGATTACATAGGGATGGATCACGGATGGATGTCGGTCGGATGTCAAATAAAATCGGACACAATGCAGGCCTGAAAATTCTCACCTACCTACCCCGACATACGTCGACATCCATCGACATGTCACTTCGGACACGCCCCAATCTCCGACATCTTTACTACATTTGATTTCAAACCGCGCCTTGATGTTACTTCCGGGTCCTCAGCTCAACTTTCTTGGGAGCCGAGCTGCCAAAGTGTGGTTGAATATATGGACCCCCACCCACAGCAAGACGCTATTTATAGTGGAGAGGACGAGTTTGGATGCCACACGCACGAATTGAGCAGAGTCGTGGGAGAAAGCAGCAGGGAGAAACGAAATCCAACTCGCACGAAGAATTTGGCGAGGCGCACCAACCTCTGATGAGGTTGGTTTCAAATGCCGATTCGTTCTCAGCCGCGAAAAACACACACCTGGCGGTTTCGTCACTCTGGTATTTTTTTCTTCTACGCCAGTTCATGTTTGATTGCTACTACCTGTAGTATTGTGAAGGAGCTACGCTTCAATTCGGTGGGACCTACAAAAATAAGAACGGTTCAGATGATGCCCACCCCATGCACGCGAATTTGCTCTGCACCGATGGAAACGCTGCACTCGAGGTTTTTTCCCCATCCTGTTGCACCCACGTTACAAGCGCGTCGCGTGGTTACGAACCAATAGTAACGAACATACCGAAGTCAAACTGAAGAGAATGAAGTCGAAATGTCAACGGATAAGGTTACAGATCCTTTACATAAGCACCTGCAAATCCATTTTAGCCAACTGCATTTGCGAAATGCACGTAGCTTATAAGCCCTCTTCACAAGGCAACCAGGAGTGGCTCAAACAGGCATCATGTGTACAAACCGGATTAGCTAAAATGGAATTACGACCTCAAGTCGAGAATTTCTGCTGACTTTTGTGTGGATCCGGGCGAAGCACAACCCACCAATGAGAAGACGATATCGCCAACGGTACAACTTTTGGTCACAGATCGGGGCGCAGTCGGCACACTGTTTCTTCGCTGACGGTGCAATTTCCCCTTGCACTAGAAGCCATTTCTCTTGACCTTCCCAGTCCAACCATTTCTGTTTCCTAGTAGCACGCCCAGTAGCGCCAGTCTCTGAGACTGAACCATCCCACCCCATCCCATCGCATCCAAATACATCCCATCCATTCCCAACCCGAGCCAGCTCATCCCATCCCATCCCATCCCATCCCATCTCATCCCATCCCATCCCATCCCAATCCATCCCAACCCATCCCAAGCCTCATAGGTCAGTTGTGTGCTTCTCGGTGGCTTGGATTGGGTGGTGGTTGGGAAGCTTCCACGTGCAACTCGCCGCACCACATTTCTCATGCGTCATGCGTGGGCGTCAATTTCTGACGTTGATCACACCGGGATTGACGTCAGACCAAGATTGACAGCCTGTGATTGGCTTGACTGCCTGGTTCGTCTGAAAATTCGGGTGTATTTTTAGACAGGTTAGGGCTCGGAAATTGACTTCGTGTCGTAAACGCCTGCCAGAAATTTTGAGCTTTGTCTCGTAAAAGAACGGTGAGAACGTTTCGCAAGCTGACATGAACTTTTTCAAAACCAAACTGAGCAACGCCCTGATTCTGCTTGGGGTGGTTCCCAGCCCCACGCAACCCTGATGTGGTGATGTCGCATTGGCTGGATAAACTTCCTGCTGAAATTTCCAGCAGCGGGCTCTGCGACTCGAGTGTGAGATTAACCAGAACGTCGCGACTCTAAGTATTTTCACACCCTCTCGGGCAAACGTTAACGCGACTCGGCTATTTCACCCCATGAAATTACCGGAGGACAGGTGTAGTGCCCCCAATGGCAGAATAACGCAGCGCGGGCTGCGCTAAAATACAGCGGATGTTCCACGGATATAACGGAAGGGCTGTGCATGAGCGAGACAATCGAAGCTGTCAGTTTTAGCAACGCAATCGGAACAGCTCGAATAGGCTCGTACTACTAGTTGTACGCTTGCAGCAGTCCTAGTACTAGGACAAAAATGGCGCGGCTTCCTGCTCTCTGCTTGGCTTCCGTGGCTCTCATTCTTGTAAGCTGTGAGTCGCCTCTCCCTCGCACGCATTTCCCTTCATTGGTTGTTACACCCATCGCCTTTGGGCCGTTGTCGTTCACGAGTTCTGTTATTTTCTATATTTTCTATCTATTATAATTATTTCTTCTTGGGACGACGAGCTTCCAAGGGTTCTACCTGGCAGCTAGAAAGTGCATAATCTAGCGCGCCTGTGATCCATCATAACACTCGGTCCGAGGCAAACTGAGAGTCGCAGACTAGATTGCCCTTGGGGCCGCCACGCTCTCCGCATCTCGTTCTGACAGGTCGCTCGTGCTGTAGTATGCGCAGGTTCGGAGGCGGTACGCCTCGTACCCAGTTCCCACTCCACCGTTGCCCGCAACGCCACCAGTGGCAGCAACACCGCCAACACTGGCAGCAGCACTGGTTACGCTGACAGCGCCACCAGCACTGGCGCCATCGCCGGAGGGATTAATAGCAGCAAGCCCACCAGGACCAGACCCAAGGTGCGTGAGCATGCCATTCCTTTACGACGCCCAGACCCCCGCTGCTGCTGCTGCTGTTGCGCTGAATCTGTCTTAGGTGCCTCAGTAACTCACATGACCGGTTTTGACTACAGGAGTGCCTCAAACCCGCCTTGAATCTAGACTCCAGTCCTTGTTTTTTTCTGGGCGCCTTGAGCAATTATCCCCATCCGTTTGCTTTTGGCTGCAGGGAATGGTATATGTTGTCCCTTTTGCCTTTTTTACTCGACAAATTGTGCCAAAGAAGGTGCAGCCATTCGATACCATTGGTACGTCTCTCTCTCTCTCTCTCTCTCTCTCTCTCTCTCTCTCTCTCTCTCTCTCTCTCTCTCTCTCTCTCTCTCTCTCTCTCTCTCTCTCTCTCTGTTGCACTCTCTCTCTGTTGCACTCTCTCTCTCTGTTGCACTCTCTCTCTCTGCTGCACTCTCTCTCTCTCTGTTGCACTCTCTCTCTCTCTCTCTCTCTCTCTCTCTCTCTCTCTCTCTCTCTCTCTCTCTCTCTCTCTCTCTCTCTCTCTCTCTCTCTCTCTCACTCTCTCTCTGTTGCACTCTTTCTCTCTCTGTTGCACTCTTTCTCTCTCTGTTGCACTCTCTCTCTCTGTTGCACTCTCTCTCTCTGTTGCACTCTCTCTCTCTCTGTTGCACTCTCTCTCTCTCTCTCTCTCTCTCTCTCTCTCTCTCTCTCTCTCTCTCTCTCTCTCTCTCTCTCTCTCTCTCTCTCTCTCTCTCTCTCAGTTGCACTCTCGCTCACCCGCACTTATTTCTGTCCTTTCTTTTTGGGTACTCCAAACAGTGTTTTTGAACGCCGGATTTGCCACCAGAAAGAAGCTTTATCAATATCCTTCAAAGTTCGCCTTTGAAGTCTGTGAACCCGGAAAGAGGTTATACAAATTCACTTACTTGGGCCAGGGATTCCGGTACGTAAATATATTCTCTGGCATTTACACATTCTGTTTTTCGGTATATTTTTTTTTTCCGGTGAAAACATGATTTGCTGATGTCACCGGCTCTGCTCTATGTCCTTGCAGCTTCAACGTGCCGCACTCTGCTGCCGGAACCACCTTGTATTTTAGCGCTGACGTTTTCTTTTGTAATTTAGGGTTTTCTGGCATGAGTTTCTCCATTCGCGTTGGAGGACACACTTGAGTACTAGGTCAACGAGCACAGGGCCAGGAATGATGTAACAGCAGCTTTACCTAAAGCCACCGAATCTTTTGATGTATTGTTTTGTCTCAGTATCTTAATGCTAATGATTCTGTGTGGGCAAGGAAAAAACAAAACGGCGAGTCTTGGAAGCAAAGTACAGACTTCAAACCCCACTAACTGCATGTGCTAGGATACCTTCATTCACACTTTGTTTTGCAGCAGCAGGAGAAACCCCAGGCTCAGCAGCTCCTGACACAGCACCCCCCGGCGCAGCACCCCCAGGTGTAGCACCTCCAGTCTCAGCACCCCCAGGCTCAGCACCCCCAGGCCCAGCACCCCCAGGCTCAGCACCCTCCGCAGTAGCACCCCCAGGCTCAGCACCCCCAGGCTCAGCACCCCCAGGCTCAGCACCCTCCGCAGTAGCACCCCCAGGCTCAGCACCCCCAGGCTCAGCACCCGCAGCAGCACCAGAGTCACCAGTAACCTCGACCGGGTCAACGGCGTCTACCTGGGACACACCTGAGGGGGCAGGAACCTGAGGGGGGAGGGGGTCTACCGGGGGGGGAACCGGCTCAAGGAAGTCCGGTGGAGGGGGAAGGGAAGGAGTGCGGTAGGGGAAGAGGCGGTAGAAGGGGACTGACTCGTCGAACGTGACGTCCTGGGAGGACAGAACACGACGAGAGGAGGGGTGGTAGAACTGCCACCCGGGAGCGTCTGTGGGGAAGCCAAGGAAGACACAGGGAGCAGCACGAGGGGACAGCTTGTCCGCAGACAAGTCGCGGACAAACGCCCGAGATCCCCAGACACGGAACGCCGACGCATCGCCAACCTTCCCCGTCCACATCAAGACTGGGGACATCGCGGGCCGAGAGACCCGGGGGTGAAGGTTGATCTGATGCGCAGCGTACCGAACCGCAAACGGCCACAGAAAATGGGGGGCAGCCGCATGCACCATGGACGTACGGGCGACGTCCATGACAATGCCGATGCGGCGCTAAGCAATCCCATTCTGCTGTGGAGAGTCCGGAAGCGTGAAGGTCTCGCGGATGCCTCGTGCCCGACAGTAGGCTCGCAGAAGGCCGGAGGAGAACTCTCCGCCTCTGTCCGAGTGTAGACGCAAAACAGGAAAGTCCGAGCCGAAGCTCTTCCTGAGCTGGAGACGAGCTGCGCGGATCCAGTCGATCAACAACTCAGTGACCTCACCCTTGCTGCGCAAGGGGAAGACTGAGGTGTAACGCGTGTAGTCGTCAACCACCAGCAGGAAGTAGCGCTCGTGACCCTGTCCACGGACGCGGGCTGGGCCCCACACGTCCATGTGAAGCGTCTGCATCGGGGCCTCCGTCGGAGGAAACGGGGAGGAGTGAGGGGTAGCCCGCAGGCGACCCTCGACACAGGGGACACAGGGAGGGCCAGGCCCCGGAGGAAGGGGAGGGAGGGACCGGGGAAGGCCAGAGACAAGAAGGCGAGAGGCCATGCCCTGGAGACGAGGCAGGGAGGGGTGACCCATCCTGTGGTGCCACAGGAGGGTCTCGTGGGACAGGAGGCGACACAAGCAGGGGGCAGACTCTGAACTAGACCTAGACGCTGCAGCAAACACCTGACCCGACGCAGCTACCTGACCAGACGCAGGAGGAGGAGACGGAACAGTGAGTGTGTACAGGCTCAACCCTGGACCACGTGTGAACGTGGTCAGGTGTCGACCCGTGTCCGCGTCCGTGCAGTGGGTGACCCGTCGGCGCGCAGGGGTGAACTGGTCAACCCCTGCATCCTGTAGGTCAGCACCCGCCACCAAGTTCGTAGAGAACGAGGGGAGGTAGAGACCGGACAGGGCGCCAGACGGGACCGCAGGGCACGGCAGGACAGTGGAGTAGCGAGCCAGAACAGGACCCCCAGAGGGGTCTGCCAAGGAGACCGCCACTGGCCGACTAAGCGGCGTGAGTGTGGTGCGGTCTCGAAAGAAGGAGCGAGACGCCCCGGAGTCAAGAGTGAAAGTGAGAGAGGGAGAAGTCGACACAGTACCTGAGAGAGCAGACTCACCAGCACCTGAGGACGCAGACTCACTGGCACCTAGAGCAACAGCCTCACCAGCACCTGGAGCAGCAGCCTCAACAGCACCTAGAGCCGCAGTACCAATGCCCGGGTCGGGCGGGAAACACCGGTAACAGTCACCCTCCTCACTAATAGTCACAGCATACATGGCAGCAAGAATAGCATCAAAGTCAAGATCAAAGATAGCTACTCCCGCCCTAGACAGCTGGTCCCAGCGAGGGATCTCAGAGGCGTCAGGAAACTGGCGGCGCCAAGCGTCAGTCAGGCGGCCGAAGCAACGCTGGGTGGAGTGTGGACCACCACACTGCTCACCCGCACGGTCGCCAGTGCGCAGGACGTAAGTGCACGGACCAGCACCCCCACCCCGCTGACGCGCAGAGTACCACTCACGGAGCTGCTGCGGGGAGAGGGTCTCCTGACCACGCTGCTGCTGCTGGCGCTGACCACCACCGGAGCCACTCCTCCTCGACGCGCCACGACCTCCGCCGCCTCCTCCGCCGCCGCCGCCACCACCTCCGCCGCCACCGCCACTCCCACCGTCGCCGCCGCCACTGCCGCCTCCGCCTCCACCCCCACTACCACCGCCGCTGCCGCCCCCGCCTCCACTGCCTCCGCCGACACCCCCACTCCCGCCACCACTCCCGCTACCACCCTCACCTCCGCCGCTGCCTCTACCTCCGCCTCCACCGCCCCCGCCGCCCCCACCACCGCCCCTGCCCCCCTTGCTCTTGCCAGAGCGACGTCTCCCGCTGGGGGCAGACGCCGCACCGACCGACTCAAAACCAACAAGGTCGGCCGTAGCAGCAGAGGCGACAGAGGGCAGGAGGGGGGAGGGGGAACACCCCTCAAAGATGGGGGTGCGCGGGTCACCACGAGAGGCCCCTACAGCGAGAATGCTTTTCTCGGCTACTAGGAGGGACTTCTCGAGGATCTCGACAGTGAGAGTGGTGGGGCAGACTGCGAGTAGGTCGTCCCTGACTCCGCGAAGGGAGTCAGGGAGGCGGGTGACAATGTAGTAGAGAGTGAAGTACTGGGGGGGGGGTTCTTGGCACAGAACTCAGCAGGAAGTGCAGCGCGGAAGCAAGCGTCACTAGTGCGCAGGTGGGTAATGAGGTCGGCTACTGTGGCAAAAGCAGCAAGGTCGGGAAAGAGGTACGGTAGCATGAGGCGGCTCAGTGCAGCAGTGGCAGGGGTGGAGTAGCGTGCGATAACGGCGTCGTACAAGGTCTTAGCACTCTTGTACGACCCAAAGTGCGCACGCTCAGCGGGAGGGAGGTGGCGACGCACAGCAAGACGTGCAGCAGCATCGCGTGTGGCCCACTGTGAGCGAACAGTGGCATCCTCAGTAGCAGCAGGGGCCGGAGAGGCACCAGAAGTGAGATCAAAGAGAGAGAGGCCGTCAGCTCTGTCGCACTGTAGGAAAAGCAGTAGGTCGTCTACCCACACATCAAAGTCGATGGCCCGACCCTCAGCGTCAAAGGCGAGAACGCTGGGGGTAGCCATGACTGCAGTAGGCTAACAGTGCAGGCAGTAGGAAGAGGGTAGTGTAGAGGGAGAGGAGCGGCCGGGTCTTACCAGACAGGGCGGCTCGGGCAGCTCGGCTGCTGTGCGGCTCGGCGGCAGGGCGGCTCGGCTGCGGGGCGGCTCGGCTGCTCGGCGGCTCGGCTGCTGGGCGGCTCAGCTGCAGGGCGGCTCGGCTGCTGGGCGGCTCGGCTGCAGGGCGGCCCGGCTCCTCGGCGGCTCGGTTGGCAGGCGGCGCGGTGGCTCGGCTGTCGGTGAAGCGGCGGCGGCCGGCAGAGTGCAGTGGTGGCGGCCGGGAGAGCGTAGCGGCGGCGGCCGGCAGAGTGCAGCGGCGGCGGCCGGGAGAGCGCAGCGGCGGAGTGTAGCGGCGGGGCCGGCAGAGTGCAGCGGCGGGGCCGGTAGAGTGAAGCGGCGGGGCCGGCAGAGTGCAGCGGCGAGGCCGGTAGAAGGGGACGGCGGGGCCGTCAGGTGCAGTGGCGGCGCCGGCAGATGAAGCGGCGGGGCCGGTAGAAGGGGACGGGGGGGGGGGGGGGGGCGTCAGAGGGGACGGCTGGGCCGTCAGGTGCAGTGGCGGCGCCGGCAGATGCAGCGGCGGGGCCGGTAGAAGGGGACGGCGGGGCCGTCAAAGGGGACGGCGGGGCCGTCAGGTGCAGCGGCGGCGCCGGTCGAAGCAGCGGCGGGGCCGGTAGAAGGGGACGGCGGGGCCGTCAGAGGGGACGGCGGGGCCGTCAGGTGCAGCGGCGGGGCCGTCTGAAGCAGCGGCGGTGCCGGCAGAGGGGACGGGGGAGCCGTCGGGTGCAGCGGCGGGGCCGGTAGAGGGGACGGCGGGGCCGTCGCAGGCGATCGCGGGGCCGGCAGCGACGGCAGCGGCGTCGCGAGGGTCAGAGGGGGCGGCGCGGGCGGCGCGAGGGCGGCGCGACGCGGCCTGAGGTCGGCGCGACGTGGCCCTGGCCGCGCGCGCGAAAAAAAAATCGCGCGCGGGGGGGGGGGGGGGGGGGGGGGCACAGGGGCTGCGCGACAAACACTAAGGGGGGGGAGCGCGCCTCGGGGAGTGGAGGGCGCTCCGGGCAGGAAAAAAAAAAATTCGTTGGTGGGCCCTAAAAACGGTCCTTAGGAAGGACCCGCTCTATACCATGTCAGAATCCCAACCACTAGACCATCGGGATAAAAGGGCTTGTTAAGTAGCGGGTCAGAGTGCGCC